TGTTACTCACTAAATAATGGTGTTTATAACTAAATGTTACTCACTAAATAATGGTGTTTATAACTAAATGTTACTCACTAATAATGGTGTTTATAACTAAATGTTACTCACTAAATAATGGTGTTTATAACTAAATGTTACTCACTAATAATGGTGTTTATAACTAAATGTTACTCACTAAATAATGGTGTTTATAACTAAATGTTACTCACTAATAATGGTGTTTATAACTAAATGTTACTCACTAAATAATGGTGTTTATAACTAAATGTTACTCACTAAATAATGGTGTTTATAACTAAATGTTACTAATAATCACGTGTTTATAACTAAATGTTACTCTTCTTTGGTTCTTTCGGTAAAGTCACGTAGAATGAGAATCAAATAATAAATTGATAAAATAAAATAACACAATATTCTCACGACGTTTCGGCCACAACACAAGCAGCCTTCATCAGGTGAAGGGACGAGACTGTCTGGAGGACAGCGCTGGAGTGAAAAAGCCACGCACAGATCACGACCTTTAAGCTATGTGAGAAGAAACAAAGCGCCTTGACAAAGGAATTAGCATATAATTTAGCATCGAAATGGCTAAGTTAAAGTATACACATCCGCAGAGGCACCCCTTGACAAAGGAATTAACATAGAATTTAGCATTGAAATAGCTGAGTGATTAGCTTGTAACTGGTCACAGAAATAGCTATGTTAAAGTCAGAGCATATACATTCACCGAGGCACCTAGTACAAATCAAACAGGAAAATTTAGCATTGAAATAACTAGGCGAATTTAGCATTGAAATAACTGAGTGATTAGCTTGTGACTGGTCACAGAAATGGCTATGTTGAAGTCAAGGCCTACACATCTGAGCTATTCACAGTAACTGGGTATACAATACAATATATAATGAATACTACATAGTGAACCAATAAAAAACTAAAATATAAATTACCTCAATGTTATCAGTAAACTCTATATTCTCCAATCAGCTAAGCTACCAACAATAAGTCGTTATATATCACAATGCTATATGGCGAAAAAATGGGTGGATTCTTACCCTCAACTTTAGCAACACGGATAGCTACGGGCCCCGTTCAGACGGACGAGTTCATCCATGGTCGGAACAGAGGAGGGGGAGAGAGACAGCTGCGAGGCGCTGTTATACTCCATGTTGTAAACCATACCATTAACTGTGGTGTGAGAGGTATTAAGAGTCAATGCCAGCGAAAGAGCTGCGGTCTGAAGGTCATCGTAAAATACAATTAATTAAGAACGGACATGGTTTAAAACATCTTTCCAATGGTTACTAAGCCAGAATCCATCTTCTCGGTTGAAATTGTCTCTGTGCTTGTATATGTGAATGGCCTCATGAACGAATCTCTCATGGTAGCCGGTTGGTTTGCAAAGAACCTCCGTCTTGGAGAAGTCAATGTCATGTGAGCCCACTGAATTATAACAGTGATCTGCCACGGCAGAGGAGTTCGTTCTACCGTGTTTCAAGTCTGCTTTATGTTCGCGGATGCGGTCTGAGATATATCGTTTGGTTTCTCCAATGTAGCTACTACCACAGAGGCACTTTAGTTTGTAAACACCCGGGTACTGTATGTCTGGAGCAGCATCTTTTACAGATGGAACTAGATCACGGATTTTATGTACTGTGTTGAATCGGACCTGGATCTTGTGTTTATTCAGGATTTTGGAGATCTCTTTAGTGACCCCTGCAATGTAGGGTAAGGTGATGGTTTTGAGTGCCCCACAAGAGGATCCTTCTTCATGACTGGAGTGATGGCTTTGCGGATTGTGTAGTCGGAGTAACCATTAGCCCTGAGAGCCTGGTGTACGTGCTTGAGTTCACTGGTAATGTGTTCCTGGTCGGAAATGCATTGGGCTCTATGGTATAGAGTCTTGATGAGGGAGTTCTTCTGGGATCGATGGTGGTGGGACTCCGATTTCAAGTAAGCATCTGTATGGGTAGCTTTCCTGTAGACAGAGTGGCTCATTGAACCATCATGTCTCCTTTTAATTAAGACATCCAAAAAGGGTAGTTTGCCATCTTTTTCGACCTCCATGGTAAATCTGATAGCTGGGTGTATGGAATTGATGTGGTCGCAGAATTGGTCTAGAGCAGGCTGGCCATGTGGCCAGATGACAAAGGTGTCATCCACGTACCTCTTCCATAAGGTCGGGTGTAGAGTGGCAGTCTGGATGGCTTCAGTTTCAAATTTTTCCATGAACACGTTGGTTACAACCGGAGATAGGGTGGAGCCCATTGGGGTGCCCTGTTTGTTTGTTGAAAGTTCCATTCCAGGTGAAATGTGTTGGTTAAGCAATGTCTCACCAGGGGGGATACATCAGTATGCAGTCCTTGATGAACCAGGTCTTCAATGATAGCGATGGTGTCAGGTACCGGGACTTTGGTGAACAAGGACACCACATCAAAACTGACAAGCAGGTCGTCTGGGGACAGGGAAATGCCTTTGATTGTCGATACCAGGTGAGTAGAATTTAGTACCGCAGAGGTGGTTTTTCCAGTGAAAGGTCGCAGTATATCAGCAAGAAAACGTGCCAGTTTATAGGTGGGGGAGTTGATAGTAGAGACGATGGGACGAAGGGGTGTATCTTCTTTGTGTATCTTTGGAAGGCTATATAATCTTGGTGGTCTGGCAGCAGAGGGTTTCAACGAGAACTGTTTGGTCTCATCAATTAATGCTGTTGAATCAGAGATGATTTTGTTCGTTTTGGTAACCAGGCTGTTGGTGGGATCTCTTTTTATTTTTGTATAACTGCCATCGTTGAGTAGTTCTTGAATTTTGTTGTTATATTCTGTTTTGTCCATGACAGTGGCATTGCCCTTGTCGGCTGAGAGGACGAGAATATCATCCCTCTTTTTTAATTGAGATAATTCAAAACGTTCGTCTTTGCTGATGTTGCTGGGTGGCAACTTAGCGTTTTTGAGGGTTGCAGTGATTTCAGATCTTGCTACATCTGCAGAGATGTGACTCAAGCCCTTGAGTGCAACGTCGACATGGGCAATGATATAATTAACCGGTAAGTGTCTCAGTGTGACAGCAAAGTTTAGACCTTTAGCTAAAATGGATTTCAGACCATCAGAAATGGAACTGTTACTGCGATTAATTACGACTATGTTGACGTCTATCTTTTCGGTGTGTGGATCCGATTTTTTGCTGGAGGTGATTGAATTTGGAAATCAAATTGTCCCTACATTTGGTCGACAGTGTCAGCCGAAGAGGTAGTCATTGTCTACGTTCCCAATCCGATGTAGACATTGTTGCTGTCAATGTTAAGTGTGATTTGTAGAGTGTCTTGTCTAACTGATCGAGTTCGGTGCGTGTAAGTCTTACACGCTCACCCACTCGTTCACCCATCCACTCACTTACACTCACTCATCCACTCACCTCCACACTCACCCACTCGCTCACACACTCACCTCCACACTCACCCACTCGCTCACCCACTCACCTCCACACTCACTCATCCACTCACTCACACACTCATTCATCCACTCACTCACACACTCATCCACTCGCTCACACACTCACCTCCACACTCACTCATCCACTCACTCACACACTCATCCACTCGCTCACTCACCCACTCACTCACACACTCACTCACACACTCACTCACCTCCACACTCACTCACCCACTCACCCATCCACTCGCCCACCCACTCACTCACTCACACACTCACTCACACACTCACCCACTCACCTCCACACTCACTCACCCACTCACTCATCCACTCACTCACCGAATAGGGGGAAGGGGGGTGGGGGTGGAGGGGGCTAGAGGAGGGGGGGGTGGGGGCCCCTCCCTTTGGGGGGTTGGGATGGTGGGGGGGGGGGGTTAGCGGTTCGACACCTCTGCGGCCACCCTGGTTAATATTCGAGGCAAACTTGGCGAGTTGCCCCGCTCCGGGGGAGATGTTGACTACCTCGCCCGGTACGCAGGAGGTCGCGGGTTCGATCCCGCACCCTGATCAAGCCTGCAGCTGGTGCCACCCCCTCCGCCCGCTGGCTACAGGGCCACAGACTCGGCCCGCGACGCCACAGATGAGACACCCGCACGCACACACAGAGAGGTGTGTGTGTGTGTGTGTGACAGCCAGACAGGTGTGTGTACGTGTATATATAATGTGTTTATTATTGTTAGTGGCAGCTTCACACCGCAGGCTTTGCACTCTCCTCACCCCCTCTCCCGCACTCTGTGTGCGTGTGTGTGTACGTGTGTGCGCACGTGTGTGTGTGTGTACGTGTGTGTACGTGTGTGTGTACGTGTGTGTGTGTGTGTGCACGTGTGTGTGTGCACGTGTGTGTGTGTACGTGTGTAGCGGTTAGCGCGCTGCGCTATGAACCTGGCGACCCGGGTTCGATTCCCGCTCACGGCCAACACCAGTGACGATCATCTGAACCGGTCCCGGGCCTCCCCTAGGTCGACTCAGCCTCAAATGAGTACCTTGTGCGGTGTGTAAATATCGCCACTAGGGAGACAAAGGCGGTCGGGCGTGGTGCTGGCCACCCACCCCCTCGTGTACCGTTCCGGCCTTCATAGGTGCTCGCTAACAGCACTTGCCCCTACAGTCTGTTAAGGCTATACGGGGGATCTTTGTCTTTGTGTACGTGTGTGTGCACGTGTGTGCACGTGTGTGTGTGTACGTGTGTGTACGTGTGTGTGCACGTGTGTGTGTGTACGTGTCTGCACGTGTGTGCGTACGTGTGTGTGTGTGTACGTGTGTGTGTGTGCACGTGTGTGTGTGTACGTTCAAATTCTTTAAGTGGTTCCGGCCTTGCGTCTACGAAGCCTTGCCCAGCAGCTGCTGTGAAACACGTGGACACGAGATGGTGGTTACATCATCATCAGCATCATCATTATCAACATCATCATCAACATCATTATCATCAACATCATGAACAACATCATCAACATTAACACCACCCAGTCCCTCATCCGCTCACCCACCGGTTCATCCATCAGTCCATCTCTTCCCCAGCCCATGTCCCTCACTCACCTACTCAGCAACAACAACAACAACAACAACCGCCATTCGCCACTAAGTGGCGGTGACGTCACCACGACACTTGTGCCAGGCTATGTGCACCCTGAGGCCACGTGGAGTGTCGAACGCCCGCGGGCAGGAGGTCACGGGGCAGACCCAGGTGCCACGGGTCGACTGAGACGACTGGCTGATACACCACCTGTGCCCCCTACTGTGCCAACCTGCTGTGCTTTAGCCACCCGGCGCTCCGCTTGTTGTTGTGAGCGCTCCTCCGCCCTCCGTTGTTGTTGGAGGGCGACTACCTCCAACTGCCCAGTAGCGTCCTTCACGAGCCTCCTCCACAGAGGCCGATCTTGACACTGCTGGTACCAGTCATCGGCAAGTCCACTCAGCTCCACGTCTTCCTGTACCACATCACTTCATCTCTTCTCTAGCCCGTGCCGCGCCCGTTTAGCCCCCTCGATCCGGCCGAACAAAAACTGTTTGGGCATGCGGTGGCTGGGCATGCGGGCTACATGACCCAGCCAATGCGGGCTACATGACCCAGCCAATGCAGCCTTGCCTGCCGGAGGAGCGCACCGATGGGACAGTCAACATCTTTCAAGGATTTGTGAGCTCCTCACACAATCCAGCCTGGTTATACCCAGGATGGATCGTAGGCAGGCCAGCCTAAATGTTTCCAACCGGCGAAGATGCTCCATTTAAGGGGGTCCACGTTTAGCAAGCGTAGAGAAGGGAGGGAATGACCGTGGCCGAGAAGACCTGAAGATTAGTGCGGAGCGACAGACCAGGTAGCTTCCACACAGCGTTACGCAACCGATGAAAAGATATTGCCGCTCGACTGATTCGGAGTGAGACCTCTGCTGTTAAACTGGAGCCGGTCATAAGCACACTGCCCAGGTATGGGAAACTCTCCACTCTCTCCACAACTGCCCCATCACCGATTGGGAGTTGTGGGAGTCGAGTGTCCGATGGTACAAAATACCCAGGCAGGTGCTTAGTTATGATGGGGCTGATGGTAAGGCCCCATCTCTTAGTGGCACGCTCCAGTCTCAGCAGCAGCGTCTCAAACTCCTCCTCTGAATGAGCAGCTATTACCAAATCATCGGCATACATAACGTGGTTGAGCAATAGGGAGCCATCCCTTGACCACACCCGGGCATCGATCAGCCTCCCATTATATCTGTACCAAATGGAGATTCCCCCAGTAAAGCTATTGAAGGCTTCACAAACTACGTGATCAAAATAGATGTTAAATAATGTGGGAGCCAGAGGACATCCCTGTCGCACCCCAAGGTGTACAGGGAATGGCTCTGACTCCCGGCCACGTAGTTTTACCCAGGCCCGCTCACCATCATGAAGGTCCTTAATGATCGTGAGCAGAGGGTCAGGGACTCCAAAAGCACGAAGAACAACCCAGAGCCCAGGCCTACTGATGGCATCATAGGCATTGACCAGGTCAATAAAGCAGAGATGTAGGTCTTGTTGGAATTCCCTACACCTCTGCTGTAGCAGACGGACAGAAAATATGGCATCTGTGCAGGACCACCCTTTCCTGAAACCGCACTGGGGCTCCGCAAGCCTCTCCTCAGCGTACCTGGCAAGGCGACGTTGAATAATCCTTGCCAGGACCTTTCCCGGCATACTGAGCAGTGAGATGCCCCTGTAGTTGTTACAGTCTGTGCGGTCCCCCTTCTTAAAGAGGGGGACCACCAGGGCATCCTTCCAATCCTGCGGAACCCGTCCAGTGGTCCAGACTGTTGTTATGATGTCATATAGGGCAGTCTGTGCACAAACGCTACCCTCCCTCAGCATTTCGCTTGGGAGATCATCTCTGCCCGCTGCCTTTCCTGGTCTCAGACTCCGGATCGCCTTCAGTACTTCCTCAACAGATGGCACCTCAGCCAGCCACTCACAGGGGGTGACTTCTTCCAATATTTGAGACACTGCAGCCTCAGCAGGGTCATCCTCACTTTGTGTCACAATGTTTTCCTGGCTGAGGGATTTTCCCTCCCCCAGGACATCACAGAAATGCTCAGCAAATCTGCAAACCTGTTCCTGGGGGTCGGAGATTGGATCACCGTTTTTTCCCCTAATGATGGTAATAGGTGTGGCGCTGCAGGTTACTTTTTAGATGGAGTTAAATAGAAATTTGTGATCACGGGCCACTGAGGCAGACTCCATCTCCTCAGCAACCCGCGACCACCACCCATCCTTGCAGTGCCTCACGGCTCTCCGAACCTCCGAGAGAAGGCTGCGGTAAGCCTCCTCATTCTCTGACGTGGGATTCTGTAGCCGATGACAGTGGGCCTGTCGCTTTTTCTCAACCATCCTGAACACCTCCTCTGTCAGCCAGGGTCTCTGGAGAGGTCTGGACCACGTACCCAAAGCAGCCATTGCAGCTGCATGAGTCACAGTCCTAAACCTCGCCCATTTACCCTCGACATCAGGAGGAGTGGGGGACGATGCCAATCCCAGCCGCAAGCGATGATGAAATTCTCGCTTGCAACTTTCATCAGATAACTGAGACCAGGCCACTTTAGGTCGGAATGGGGTCCTGGGTGTACACCCACCACCGGAGTGGAAGAATGGCAGGCGCATCTTACAGATGACTAGTCGATGGTCAGAGGGCAGATCAGCTCCACGGTAGGTCCTGGTGTCAAAGACATGGGCTCGCATCCGCTGGTCTGTCACTATGTAGTCCAGCAGATGTTCTTGCTTGGACCCGGCATGCATCCATGATGTTGTGTGGATGCGCCGATGCCGGAACAGCGTGTTGGTAATTACAAGCCCATGGGCTGCACAAAAATCTAGCAGCCTCCTACCGTTGTTATTGAGCTGATCTGGCCCATGCCCTCCAATCACTCCAGACCAGGTGCCAGCATCATGACCAACTCGGGCATTGAAGTCACCCAACATGATGACTCTATCCCGAGGTGCCACTTCAGCCAGCACCTGTGACAGGAGGTCATAGAAAGCATCTGACTCATCGGCTTTGCCTGCATCCCTCCACGGATGTTCGTCTTCGGTGGGGGCATAAGCAACCACGACCACCACTCCTCGCCTCCGGTTAATGGGAATGCGAGCCCAAAGTAGCCTGGGGCTTACAGCTTCCCACACCTCACCGCCACGCTCCCACGCCCCCTTCATTCTTTTGATCAAAAGAGCCACACCCTGTTGTTTGGCAGTCTACTGCCCCGAGTAGAGGACTGTCCACCCCTCATGGTGGCAGGAGCCAGAACTGGTCCACCGGACCTCCTGAATGCCACAGAGATCCAGGCGGTACCGGTCTAGCTCCTGACAGAGGAGTGGCAGCCTCTCCTCCGCAGTGAGTGTTCGAACATTCCACGTGGCCATCCGTAGTGGCTTTTCGTTGTTTCTGAAGGAGCCCCGAGGGTAGAGATTCAATCTCCTGGCTCCGCTAATTGGGGTTTGGCCAGGAGACGTCATAGACGCCTGTCCCCCCGGGCCCTTCGGCACAAGCTTATTAGTTACGTATTTCAGTTTAACTCGTGGTTTAGTGGTAATTAATTGAAGGTGGAGGGGTTACCAGCCCCTCGCACCCATCCAGAGCCCCCGTTTAGCCACTGTGGTGGACACAGACGCCATGAGAGGAGGAGCCAATCGGAATTGGCCATCCCCCCACAGCACTGTCCACGACAAGAGTTGCCCGTCCGGCACCACGTACACACACACGTACACGCACACACACGTACACGCACGCGTACACGCACACGTACGCACACACACGCACGCGTACGCACGCACGCACGCACGTACACACACGCACGTACACACACGTACACACACGTACACACACGTACACGCACGTACACACACGTACACACACGTACACACACGTACACACACACACCTGCTTGGCGCTGTTCACACACTGCATGTACTGCTTGGCCACGGCAGAGCAGTTGAGCGTCTGCCCACCGCTGTTGTTGTAGCAGCTCAGCACCACGCCCTGCAAGTCGCCACACACCGGCACGTAGGGGCCCTTGCTGCACACACACACAGACACAGACGTACATACACACACACACACAGACACACACAGAGACACACACACACAGACACAGACGTACATACACACACACACAGACACAGACACACACATAAACACACACACACAGACACAGACGTACATACACACACACACAGACACACACACAGACAGACACACACACACAGACGTACATACACACACACACACAGACACACACACACACCGACGTATATACACACACAGACACAGACGTACATACACACACACACAGACACACACACACAGACACACACACACACAGACGTACACAGACACACATACACACACAGACAGACACACACACGTACATACACACACAGACGTACACACACACAGACACACAGACATACACAGAGACATACATACACACACAGACGTACATACACACACACACACAGACGTACATACACACACAGACAGACACACACACACACAGACACAGACGTACATACACACACACAGACACACAGACACACACACAGATACACACACACAGACACACACACTCACAGACGCACACACACAGACACACACACACTCACAGACGCACACACACAGACACACACACAGACGCACACGTACATACACACACAGAGACAGGCACAAACAAACACGGACACACACACAGACGCACACACGTACATACACACACAGACACACACACACACACAGACACTCACACAGACAGACACACACACACAGATGTGTGAGTACGTGTGTATGTGTGTGTGTACGTGTGTACGTGTGTACATACGTGGACGTGTGTACGTACGTGGATGTGTGTATGTATGTGTACGTGTTTATGTGTGTGTACGTGTGTATGTGTGTGTGTACGTGTGTGTATGTGTGTGTGTACGTGTGTGTACGTGTGTGTACGTGTGTGTGTGTGTACGTGTGTGTGTGTACGTGTGTGTGTGTACATGTGTACGTGTGTGTGCGTATGTGTGTGTGTACGTGCGTGTGTACGTGTGTGTGTGTACGTGTGTGTGTACGTGTGTGTATGTATGTGTGTGTGTACGTGTGTGTGTGTATGTGTGTGTGTGTACGTGCGTGTGTACGTGTGTGTGTGTACGTGTGTGTGTGTACGTGTGTGTGTACGTGTGTGTATGTATGTGTGTGTGTACGTGTGTGTGTGTATGTGTGTGTGTGTACGTGCGTGTGTACGTGTGTGTGTGTACGTGTGTGTGTGTACGTGTGTGTGTACGTGTGTGTATGTATGTGTGTGTGTACGTGTGTGTGTGTATGTGTGTGTGTGTACGTGCGTGTGTACGTGTGTGTGTGTACGTGTGTGTGTGTACGTGTGTGTGTGTACGTGTGTGTGTGTGTGTACGTGTGTGTGTGTACGTGTGTGTGTGTACGTGTGTGTGTGTACGTGTGTGTGTATGTGTGTGTGTGTACGTGTGTGTATGTGTGTGTGTGTGTACACGTGTGTGTACACGTGTGTGTGTGTGTATGTGTGTGTGTACGTGTGTGTGTACGTGTGTGTGTGAATGTGTGTGTGTGAATGTGTGTGTGTGTACGTGTGTGTAGGTGTGTGTATGTGTACGTGTGTACGTGTGTGTATGTACGTGTGTACGTGTGTGTACGTGTGTGTATGTGTGTGATGTGTGTGTGTATGTGTGTGTCTGTGTCTGTGTGTGACGTGTGTGTGTGTGTGTATGTGTGATGTGTGTGTACGTGTGTACGTGTGTGTGTGTGATGTGTGTGTGTATGTGTGTACGTGTGTATGTGTGTGTGTGTACGTGTGTGTGTGTACGTGTGTGTGTACGTGTATGTGTATGTACGTGTGTGTGTGTACGTGTGTGTGTACGTGTATGTGTATGTACGTGTGTGTGTGTGTGACTGTGTGTGTGTGTACGTGTGTGTGTACGTGTGTGTGTATGTGTGTGTGTGTGTACACGTGTGTGTGTACGTGTGTACACGTGTGTGTATGTGTGTGTACGTGTGTGTCTGTGTGTGTGTGTACGTGCGTGTCTGTGTGTGTGTGTACGTGTGTGTGTGTGTGTACGTGTGTGTGTGTGTACGTGTGTGTGTGTGTACGTGTGTGTGTGTAGTGTGTGTGTGTGTACGTGTGTGTGTGTGAATGTATGTGTGTGTACGTGTGTCTGTGTGTGTGTGTGTGTGTGCGTGTGTGTGTGTGTGAATGTATGTGTGTGTACGTGTGTATGTGTGTGAATGTATGTGTGTGTACGTGTGTATGTGTGTGTGTATGTGTGTGTGTGTATGTGTACGTGTCTGTGTGTGTGTGTGTACGTGTGTGTACGTGTGTGTGTGTACGTGTGTGTGTGTACGTGTGTGTGTGTGTATGTACGTGTGTACGTGTGTGTGTGTATGTGTATGTATGTGGGAGCGGTAGTGTAGCGGTTAGCGCGCCGCGCTATGAACCTGGCGACCCGGGTTCGATTCCCGCTCACGGCCAACACCAGTGACGATTATCTGAACCGGTCCTGGGCCTCCCCTAGGTCGACTCAGCCTCAAATGAGTACCTGGTGCGGTGGATAAAAACATTGCCACTGGGGAGACAAAGGCGGTCGGGCGTGGTGCTGGCCACCCACCCCCTCGTGTACCGTTCCGGCCTTCATAGGTGCTCGCTAACAGCACTTGCCCCTACAGTCTGTTAAGGCTATACGGGGGATCTTTATCTTTGTGTGTATGTGTACGTGTACGTGTGTGTACGTGTGTGTGTGTACGTGTGTCTGTGTGTGTGTGTGTGTGAATGTACGTGTGTGTGTATGTACGTGTGTGTGTATGTGTACGTGTGTGTGTGTGTGTACGTGTGTGTGTGTAGTGTGTGTGTGTGTACGTGTGTGTGTGTGTACGTGTGTGTGTGTACGTGTGTGTGTGTACGTGTGTGTGTGTGTATGTACGTGTGTACGTGTGTGTGTGTGTATGTGTGTGTGTGTACGTGCGTGTGTACGTGTGTGTGTGTACGTGTGTGTGTGTACGTGTGTGTGTGTACGTGTGTGTGTACGTGTGTGTGTACGTGTGTGTGTGTATGTGTGTGTGTGTACGTGCGTGTGTACGTGTGTGTGTGTACGTGTGTGTGTGTACGTGTGTGTGTGTACGTGTGTGTGTGTGTGTACGTGTGTGTGTGTACGTGTGTGTGTGTACGTGTGTGTGTGTACGTGTGTGTGTATGTGTGTGTGTGTACGTGTGTGTATGTGTGTGTGTGTGTACACGTGTGTGTACACGTGTGTGTGTGTGTATGTGTGTGTGTACGTGTGTGTGTACGTGTGTGTGTGAATGTGTGTGTGTGAATGTGTGTGTGTGTACGTGTGTGTAGGTGTGTGTATGTGTACGTGTGTACGTGTGTGTATGTACGTGTGTACGTGTGTGTACGTGTGTGTATGTGTGTGATGTGTGTGTGTATGTGTGTGTCTGTGTCTGTGTGTGACGTGTGTGTGTGTGTGTATGTGTGATGTGTGTGTACG